TGCCAACACAAATTTCCTGTCATTGAAAGCTATCCTCATTCCATTTAGATGTTATTGGAGGCTACTGGGAGGAACGTCTCAGGTTAAGTAGCAATAAAACTGTAAGACCTTACGTGCTTGCCTCTGGACATACATAGTATCATAGAATGTTTTGGGTTGGAAGGGACCTTAAGATCATGCAGTTCCAGCCCCCTGCTATGGGCAGGGACACCTCACCCTAGACCTTGCCACCCAAGGCTCTGTCCAACCTGGCCTTGAACAATGGCAAGACACGGAGGCAGCCCTGCTGCTGTGCTGCTTGCTCCTGGGACTGCTGCACTGGCACCGGCATTGGCAGGGCCCCCATCCGTATCTCCAGGGCTTTCCCTTCCACGTGCATGTACAGGGCTGAAGAGACTCTGCCAGCACACATGTGGTCGAGGAAGCAAAGAGACCTCACCTGCTTAGGGGCTCCTCCATCTCGTGTCAGGAGCGTGGCTGTCAGGTTCTCAGGGCGACTGATGCTCTGGAGGTAACTGGGGGAGCCGCAGCAGCTCAGCTGCTCCTTCTCCACCAGCTCCTCCAGGTCCTGCCATAGTGCCTGCCATGTGTCAGCATCCAGAGCGGCTGCAGCTCCTCTCCCAGCCCACGCTGACAGCACCAGCTCCTGCAGCTCCTGCGCAGCCTTGATGCAGTCGGTGCAGCCGGGCCTGCAGCGCCGGGGCCCGCACAGGGAGGATCCAGCATTACCTGCAACCAAGGGAGGGGTTCCTGAGTGTTGGGGTGCCGGAACCAACTTGGGACCATACACCCAGCCTGCTCCACATGGGGCTGGGCTCCTCTGGGGGGACCTGCTGGGGACTTACATGGCTCTGCTGCCCAAAATCGCCACCTCCATCTCCGCTGTTGCTGGCCCTGGGCATCACCCTGTGGGAAGAGCAGTGTGGCACAGTCACCTTCCTGGGGACAGCCACCACCAGTGCTGGGACAAAGTGGTCCCCATGGCCACAAGCGACCCCGTCTGCGACGGCTGATGGCAAGCAGGATGGCCCCAGCAGCCAGGATGAGGATGCTGAGGCCCAGAAGAAAGCTGCTGTTGCTCATGTCCTCTGTTTGTGGCGACCACACTGGGAGCTGTGGAACAGTGGCACTTGTTGCTGTGAAGGTGGAGCCTGGTGCTAAGAGCAGCCCAGTGGTGCCACACCCTGTATTGATGTCACAATGGAGGCTGTGCTCAGGATGGCAGTTGTCAGTGCTGGGGTATTAGTGTTCAATTTCCTGTAACCAGTTTGTAGAATCTCAAACTGGTTTGAATTGGGAGGGACCTTCAAGCTCATCCAGTTCCAACCTGGCCTTGAACACTGCCAGGGATGGGGCAGCCACAGCTTCTCTGGGCACCCTGTGCCAACGCCTCAGCACCCTCACAAGGAAGAGCTTCTCCCTAAGAGCTCATCTCATCTCCCCTCTCTCTCAGTTTAACATGGCGAGGATTACATGCCGAGGATTGCTGACCCTGTGAAACAATCAGCCTTTATATGAGAGCTACAAGGGACAGACAGAAAGGGAGGGGAATCACTGTTTTAGGTGTTGCTGGTCCTCATACAACAACACACATGCAAGCTGAATTCCAGTCCACAGTCTCCTTTTTCAATTGAGAAGGAGTTCACATCACTGCCAGTCTTCCCTATTGGACCATTAGGTTGTATTTTCAACCCATTTAGAAGGTTGTACTTTCGTTTGCCCTAAATATTGATTTATTTTTTTCCAATGACTAGCCTGCCTTAGTCTTAAAGATGCCAAGAATAATCCAACAGAATGAAATTAATACTGTTTTAAAATAATTTGCTTTTTCAATTTTGCTTAGAAAAACAACTTGCAAGCATATATTTGCTTATTTCTCTATCATGCAACACTTGCTCCTTCTTTCATGCTCAGTGAATTTCTCCTTTTCTCTTTCTTTTTTTTTTTTTAAGCAATTGCTAAAATTTCCTAGTGATGCATGTGCATGCTCTTTCTTAGCTGACGAACTTTAGATAATGAAATGAAAATGCATTTTACTGCAGCTATTATGTTTGCAACTTTTAGTACAGGTAAGAGGATTTCAGTAATATCCTTAACAGGGTGTGTGGGAAAATCAGAATAATAGTGCAAAAAAGAATTAAAATACACAAATTTCAAGATGAAAGGTAAAATATTGTCTTCAGGTTTTATTAGCTTCTATATATAAATGATTTATGAGCAGCCTTCCATTATCTGAAGGGGGCATATAGGGATGCTGGGGATGGACTGTTCATTAGGGACTGTAGTGATAGGACAAGGATAATGGGTTAAAACTTAAACAGGGGAAGTCTAGATTGGATCTAAGGAGGAAATTCTTTCCTGTTAGGGTGGTGAGGCACTGGAATGGGTTTCCCAGAGAGGTTGTGAACACTTCATCCCTGGCAGTGTTCGAGGCCAGGCTGGACGAGGCCTCGGGTGACATGGTTTAGAGCGAGGTGTCCCTGCCCATGGCAGGGGGCTTGGAACTTGATGATCTTAAGGTCCTTTCCAACCCTAACCATTCTATGATTCTATGATTCACAGTCTGTGATCCTCTGAGACTAATACTGGATGGCTGATCAATAGATGACTTGTCCCTGAAAGCACAACCGCATCAGAAGAGAGACACAAAGTCCTCTCCTAAGCTCAGAGAAGCAGTGTCCACAGCCTGTATATAGATGTTTGCACTCTGGATACTTCCTGGAATTTGAATGTTTCTTTCTCTACATTGATTACTAGAGCAGTAGAAGTTTAAGCTTAGAGGAGTAACTTAATTGTTTAAGTTGACTGATGAGCCCCATATTACCAGTATCAAATGATAGAGCAGAGACATGAATAAGAACCCAAACATGATAATCTCCCCCAATTCCTGCTGGCTTTCTCACATCATTTCCCCCAAACCAGAGCATCCATTTCATCCCTTTCATGTGTCATGGTTTAGCCTCTACCCAGAGATTTGGAAGGTCTGAACATATCCATCACTGGCTACTGCAAGCCTCTGTGAAGCTTTCCAATCTCATCAAAGACAGTTTGAAATAGGAAAGGTAAAGATCAGTTCTGCTGTGGTGTTTTGTTTTCCTCCCATGTGATTGTTTTGCTCAAGTTCTAGTGTCTTGCCTCAGGGATGTCTTCTCTGAACTCTTTTCCCCAGAGCTTCTGCCTGTGTTCTGTGTAAGTGCTGGGGGACAGGGTATGGGGATAGGGAAGATAGAATCTGTTTGGTGTAATTTCAGCAGCCTAAAATTCAACCAGGCAAGGCTGATCTAACCATTGAGGCTTATTTTGTAGTCAGTGTAAGGAGGGAGAGACCTGCAGGAAGCCAGGAAGCAAACCATGCTATTTCCCTTGAAATTATTTTACAGTGGGATGAATCAACCTTTGGAAGAGTCCATTTCTTGCCAATGATAGCTAAAAAGAGAGCTAAAAGAACCCGGCTAACTTTTAGGCGCCTAAAACTAGTTAGGATGAGTTTTCAGGCATTTTGAGGGCTTCTCTGACCTCCAGAGCCTTTAAGGTCTGCTGTTGTGCCAACACAAATTTCATGCCATACAAAGCTATCCTCATTCCATTTAGATGTTATTGGAGACTTCTGGTAGGAAGGTCTCAAGTTCAGAAGAAATAAAACTGTAAGACCTTGTGTGCTTGCCTCTGGACATACATAGAATCATAGAAAGGACCTTAAGATCATCCAGTCCCAACCCCCTGCCATGGGCAGTGTCACCTCACACTAGACCATGCCACCCAAGTCTCTGTTCAACTTGGCCTTGAACAATGCCAGGGATGGAGCATTCAGAACTTCTTTGGGCACCCTGTGCCAGCACCTCACCACCTTCACAGTAAAGAACTTCTTCCTTATATCCAACCTGAGCTTCCTCTGCACCTATGGACAAGATAGAAGGAAGGAGAAGACAAGCCATGAAAATAAAGCTTGTTAGCTGGAAAATAAAAATGTTGAGTTGTCCATGTTTCCTCATAGAAAAACGTATCAGCTGCACATTTGACAAATTAAACATCTGCTAGTGAAGAGTGGTTGAATTTAAAGCTTTTTTTTATTGTATCTGTCCATCAGCTGCTTGATATTCTTTATTCACAGTCAATATCGGGGCTCTTCTAGGAAATAACAAGGATTAGCTTTATTTGAAAAGAAATTCATATTAATAAGATTAACTACTGCTTAATGTAAGTAGTAAAGTAACAACTTAAACTGCTCTAAATCTTCCTGCGGGTGTGTAATTTCTGTATAATGTAGGGACCTTAGCTAGCGTGAATGATCACCTTTAATTTGATATGATCACAATCCTGTTACCAGAAGTTCTAATGGCCTCTGGAATTCCATTTTCTAAATTGTCACAATCATTTTGAGGTGCATTTGAAAGTCTTTTTCCCTGAAAGCTGTTGCTTCAAGGTCACAGTGACTTGACTCCAGCTCGCAGTCTGGGACTCCATTTGCCAAGATGTCCATTCTCATTTCAATGCTGTTTTGAAGCTTAAAACCAATAGTCTGTGTGGGACTCCAGTCAAAAGAAATACTAGAAGCATTTCCAAGAGTGTGTACAACACCTTTACAGCACATCATTTCACTGGAACATTTCCACACTGAGACAAACACCAGCAGTGCTTTGTTTGCTCTACTCTTCCCTAGAGAACATAGCTATCTCCTGTGTCCAAAAGGAAGATATAAAATCTGTGACATTCCTCAAAAGAAACATTTCCTTCATCCAGGAAAAGAAAGCAAGTATTTCCCTAGTAGGGAAGTTTCCTAATGAATAAAATTTCCTTCCATTCAGGGAGTTGTGTAGGAATTGTTCTAAGTCAGTTGCTTTCTATGAATTTCTGATTCAGAAAAGCTTTGCGGCACCATGAGATAACAAAAGAAAACAATAAATATGAATATATCTTTAAAAAGGGGGGAATTTGGTTTATCTTTAATTTTTACACCTAAATTTTGATCTGATACCTCTTGCAGGTCCGCATCAAAGAACACTCAGCAGCTTCTAGGCTTTCTCTGCCCCAATTTCTGAACATGAACCACAGCTGAAAATAGGAGGAAACAGCCACATGTGTGTAACTATGGAGTATTTTTCGGGGCAGAAAGTTTCTTTTTCTTACTTTCACTAGAAATCTCTCAAATTACCAGTGATAATGTTAAAGTAAGTGGTAATGTTACAAGGTCACTGTTTAACTGGTCTCAACTAAAACTAAAACGCAATTGAATTTTGGCAGAGCTTGTCATCTTAGTCTAGGAATCGCGGTACCTGAGTCAACCCAGACATCATATGGAGTAAATGGTCACATCCATAAAGTGATTCAGATTCTAGGATGCATCAAGAATGAAGGACCTTGAAAAAAAGATAAAAGAAAACTGTCTAACATTGGGTTCATCTCACTAACCATCCAAACTTTTGGCAGTGAACTGATATTGGTCATGAAGGCGTCCTTTCTCATCAACAGATGCTCACATAGCCAGGATACGATGCATCCCACCTACCCCTCTGCAGTGATTATAGATGGAACTGAAGACGATGCACTTAGACCAACCTTTACAAAGCCAAATAAAGGTGAGATCAGTGCAACCCTCCTTTCTGAACCCCCAGGCTCTACTGTAACCATTTAATATCCTATCCCGAATGAGTCAGTTTAGATTATTATACATTCTTAAGGAACAAAGACATTTCTGGTTTGGCTGTGCTTTTATCCACTTAGCATTCATATTTACAGGAGTATTTAACTGACCTGCTAGCAGTTCCGTTATTAAATGTCCTTCTGCAATCCTTATACTTCCTGGAAATGTAAAGGTGAGCAAGGGAGATCTGCCCTGCCTTGAACTTATACTGGCATCAGCAGAGAAGTGTCCTAACTTTGGCAAAGTTAAGTTACATGATGCACTTCTGGAAAGGTAAAATTAAGACCCAAAATTAATCTTGTAGGGGGCTGAATCAAATTCAGTTGGTTTCAGACGACAAATAAAGTGGGGAAAAATGGTTGGAAAATCTAACAGTATTTGTGCTCAGATGCTTAAAAACAATACTCGTGGCTCTCTTTTCATCGACTGCTTAAGAATTGATCAGCCTCAGGAAAATGAACCCACAAAATACATGTAGGAAATCCCAGAATGAGAGGAAATAATTCATTTTAGATTCAATGATTTGTGTTCCAAAATGACTGTCGTCTTGTTGTCTAAGAAAAATAAGTAATAAATCTGTTTATGTTCCAGCATTTCGATCCATTTTTTCCCAGTGTTCCATTTCACTGCTACCTCAAAGACCATTATTAACTGTGCCAGAACTCCTTCCTCTACTGGTCACACAGGTAAATGTATAGCGGCTACAATCAAATATATAACTAATAGTAGGCAAAATCTTATACTCAGTGTTTTTCATCAAGTGATGTGTCACTCAAAGTTTCTTCTATACCAGCACTATGCTCTAGCTCTTAAAATCCCATCTGAGGTCTTATGTCATAGAATTGTAGAATACTAGGTTGGAAGGGAACTCAAGGATCATCTGGTCCAACCTTGCTAGGCAAGCATGACCTAGACCAGATGTCTCTCATGAGACCCCCCTGAAGTCTTGCATCCAAGTTTGCAGGCAACAACACGAGGGATGTGAAGCTGTTGGAGTGAGTCCAGAGGAGGCCATGGAAATACTGTGAGGGCTGGAGCAGCTCTGCTCTGGAGCCAGGCTGAGAGAGCTGGGCTGGGTCAGCCCAGACAAGAGAAGGCTCCTGAAGGGGAGACCTTAGAGCAGCTCCAGTGCCGAAAGGGGCTGCAGGAAACCTGGAGAGGGCTCGGCAACAGGCCTGTAGGGACAGGCCAAGGGGAATGGCTTGAACCTGCCTGAGGGGAGACTGAGCTGAGCTCTTAGGCAGAAGCTCTTCCCTGTGAGGGTGATGAGGTGCTGGCACAGGGTGCCCAGAGAAGCTGTGGCTGCCCCATCCCTGGCAGTGTTCAAGGCCAGGTTGGACACAGGGGTTTGGAGCAAGCTGCTCTGGTGGAAGGTGTCCATGCCCGTGGCAGGGGTTGGAACTGGATGAGCTTGAAGGTCCCTTCCAAGCCAAACCATTCCACAATTCTATATCCTAGCACCTTATCCATATATATATGAAAGGAATAAACAGAGAGTAATTTATGATGTAAAGTATGTAAAGCTCTCTTTAATGTCCTCCTAAAGTTTCTTTTCAATGGGAATTATCTAAGTCATTGGTTTCCCCCTCTGATACTTGGCAAGTTCCTCTTTCATGGACACCCCCTTGTCGTGGGGAAAGAGCTTGCGTGCCCTTGTGAAGTTGGGAGTTATGCTGGTGGTGGCTTACGCTTCCGGTAGGGTCTCCCATGCCAGTCAGCTCTCAAATGAAGGGTCAGACAAAGTTTGTTCATGGGCAGGATGGGCTCACTAGCCTTCGAGCAACCATCCTAGGAGAAGGACAACTCCAACTTCAAACCCTGGCAGATGGAGCTCTTGTAGCCCTGTAAGGCCATCCATCTAAGAGAAGGATACTCTAATTAAACCTGCGACCTGAGGACTTTGCTGTCACCGTCCAAGCTCGCTAGGCCCTGGCAGAGAAACCTCAGGTGTAAAGGGTGAGGCCAGTTCTGCGCACGCTGTGCCTCACCTAAAATAAATCCACTGCACAGGCCCGAAGGGTTTACCCGCACTTGCAAAGCCCTGCAGTGACAGGCGAGGGACGAAACGGCAGGTGATGAGGTACACTGGAAGTCGCAGACCCAACCTTGCATGCAGGCGGTTCAGGACATTGGTCGCTCAAGTCTGACCCAGGAGATGACAGTCTTGTTCGGCAGCATCCTGAATGACCAAGCAGCCTTTTTCAAGGACAGCACTGCTTGCTCCATATGGAGAGAGGCCTAGAAAAGGTGGCCTAACCAAAGCTCATCTCCCCCTCCACCTGGTTGGCTAGCCGCGGCCAACGGGCATCTTCTATTGCGGTCAATTAAAAACAAAGAGACAAAGGCATGCACCTGCCTCCAAAGGTGTGTCCAGATTGACACTCGCATGTTGGAACATCAGAACCATGCTTGATACAGTGAACAGTGGGCGTCCTGAGCGCCGTTCTGCGCTAATTGCCCATGAATTGTCACGTCTTAACATCGATATCGCTGCTCTCAGTGAAGTTCGCCTTCATGAGGAAGGTAGCCTCAAAGAACATAGTGCTGGCTATACACTCTACTGGTCAGGCAAACCCAAAACTGAAAGTCATCTTTCTGGAGTCGGCTTCATGATTAAAAACTCCATCATCTCTAAACTTGAAAATTTGCCGATAGGTCATTCCGATCATATTATCTCTTTAGGTCTTCCACTACACAATAAGCAACATGTTGCTCTTTTCAGCATATATGCTCCAGCTCTGCAAGCTGACCCTGCAGAAAAAGAAAAATTCTACTCCGACCTGCGTCACCTCACTCAGAAAGTCCCTATAGAAGATAAGATCATAATCCTTGGTGACTTCAACGCCCGAGTAGGAAAGAACTTTGAAGCCTGGAAAGGAGTACTTGGCAAGCATGGTGTTGGCAGCTGCAATGATAACGGTCATCTCTTACTAGAGTTCTGTGCAGAGCAACAGCTTACCATCACCAACACTATCTTCCAGCAGAAAGACAGCTGGAAGACAACCTGGATGCATCCTTGATCTAAACATTGGCACCTTACTGATTATGTTTTAGTGCGCCAGAGAAATATTCGTGATGTCTGCCAGACCAGAGTGATGCCTCGTGCAGAATGCCAAACAGACCACCGCCTTGTGCGTTGCAAACTTAATTTCCACTTCAAGCCCAAACCTAAGAGGGGCGGCATTCCGAGGAGGAGGCTCAATGTTGATAATCTTCAAATAGCTGCAGTGAGGGACAGCTTCCAGGCTAACCTTCAAACTAGGCTTGAAGACCAACTTACAGATTCTTCTCCTGAAGCGCTTTGGCAACATATCAAAAACAGCATCCTGCAGTCCTCCGTAGAATCCATTGGGTTCTCCTCAAAGAAAAACAAAGACTGGTTTGACGATAGCAACCAGGAGGTCCAGGAATTGCTGACAAAAAAGAGATTTGCTCATCAAGCACACCTCGCTCAGCCACTCTGCCATGTAAGAAAAGCAGCCTTTCGTCTTGCATGTAGCAAACTCCAACAGAAACTTAGAGACATCCAGAACAAGTGGTGGCTCAACCTAGCAGAAAAGACTCAACTATGTGCAGATTTGGGTGACCACAGAGGATTCTATGAGGCTCTAAAGGCAGTGTATGGACCCACATTCCAGGTTCAAAGCACCTTACTTGGTGCAGATGGCCAAACGCTTCTTACAGATAAAATCTCCATCCTGAATCGCTGGTCTGAACATTTTCAAACCCTCTTTAATGCAAATCGTGTAGTCCAAGGCGAAGGAATCCAGCACATACTGCAACATCCAGTGAAAAACGAATTGGATTTAGCCTCTACCATGGGAGAGACTCTTAAGGCCATACAGCAGGTGAAAACTGGCAAGGCAGCTGGGGTTGACGGAGTCCCACCTGAAATATGGAAGCATGGAGGCCAAGCGCTTCATGCTAAATTTCATGAGCTAGTTGTGTGCTGTTGGGAACAAGGTAAAATACCGTCAGACTTTCGTGACGCAATCATCGTCACTCTGTATAAGAAAAAAGGTGTCAAGTCAGACTGCTCAAGCTACTGTGGTATAACTCTGCTCTCCATTGCTGGTAAAATTCTTGCAAGAATACTATTGAACAGACTAGTACCTGCTATCACAGTAGAACTTCTACCTGAAAGTCAGTGTGGTTTCAGGGCTAATAGAAGTACCACAGACATGGTATTTGTTCTCAGACAATTGCAAGAAAAGTGTAGAGAACAGAATAAGGGGTTATACGTAACTTTCGTTGACCTCACCAAAGCTTTTGACACTGTGAGCGGGAAAGGCTTGTGGCTGATCTTAGAATGATTAGGTTGTCCCCCCAAGTTCCTCAAAATGATTATTCTGTTACATAAGGATCAGCAAGGCCAAGTCAGGTATGGTGGTGCAGTCTCTGAGCCTTTCCCAATAACCAGTGGTGTGAAACAAGGTTGCGTTCTCGCACTGACCTTATTCACAATCTTCTTCAGCATGATGCTCCAAAGGGCTACAGCAGACCTCGACGAACAAGACGGCATTTATATTCTATATCGTACCGATGGTAGCCTATTCAATCTAAGGCGACTGAAGGCCCACACTAAGACCCTAAACCATCTTGTCTGTGAACTGCTCTTTGCTGACGATGCCGCCCTTGTTGCCCACACAGAAGCAGCTCTGCAACGTTTAACATCTTGCTTTGCGGAGGAGGCTGAGGTTTCTGGGCTGGAAGTCAGCTTGAAGAAGACAGTAGTCCTCTACCAACCTGCACCCCAAGAAGATTATCGCCATACCCACATTACCGTCGGTGAGTCAGACCTTAAGACAGTTCATCAGTTCAGCTATCTGGGAAGCATCATTTCCTCGGATGCAACGATCGACAAAGAGATAGACAACAGAATAGCAAAGGCATATAGAGCCTTTGGAAAACTCCATAAAAGAGTCTGGTGTAATAAACACCTGAAGAAAAGTACAAAGGTCAGTGTCTACAGAGCCATTGTATTGTCTACTCTTTTATATGGGTCTGAATCATGGGTCATCTACTGTCATCACCTGCGACTCCTGGAACGCTTTTATCAGCGCTGCCTCCGTACAGTTCTAAACATCCATTGGACTGACTATGTGTCTAATGTCACTGTCCTCGAACAGGCAGGGGTCACCAGCATCAAGGCCATATTGCTGAAATTGCAGCTGCGCTGGGCAGGGCACGTCTCTAGAATGAAGGATCACCGCCTCCCCAAGATCGTGTTTTACGGTGAACATGCCACTGGTAGCCGCAAGAGAGGTGCCCCAAAGAAGAGATACAAGGACTCCCTGAAACAATACCTTAGCCTTCGCCATATTGACTACCATCAGTGGTCCACCTTGGCCTCCAATCGGGAGACTTGGAGGTACACCATACATAATGCCGCTGACTCCTTTGAGTGCTCACGAAGAACTAGTCTCGAGGAGAAAAGACAACGCAGGAAGGATCGCGCCCCACCTGTACCACCCAAGGAGACCTTCTGCTGTGCTTTTTGTAGCCGGATTTGCCTATCCCACATTGGCCTTCTTAGTCATCAGCACGCTTGTAGTAAGCACGGGTAAAAGCCCTTCCCAAATCTTCGTTCGCGAAGT